GCAGGAATTTTGTTAGTGAAGAGTATGCCATATTTAGAATTTTGTAGCACTTAAATTTGCTTCAACTAGCTAGTAACATTTGATGGTACACCAGCTATAAAATTTTATATGAAAATGCTTTTCATAGATCTGACCCTTCAACTCTCTTCTACTCTCACTGCTTTTATTTGCTTGTGTGTGCTTCATAGATGTTCCTCCCACATTCTAAGCAGTCTTGTGAAAAGTCTTCTTTTAATATCTATCCATCAATCAGTAGAGGAGTTGTTACATGCCATTGAATCAGTTCAATCCATAGGGTGGAGGTGGGAAATTTGTTGATTAAAAACTGAGCTGATAAAAAAGTGAATATATTTGTATTTGTATTTTAAAGACCACCTTTAAAGGCTATTAGATGTAAGGGACATTTTAAGTGTTGCAGTCTTTAGGACATAATGGCGAAGTCATAATGGGGTGGGAGCTGTGAAGGAAAATGTTGGATCCCTTCTCTATTCAGCATCATTTGAGATGAAGGTAAAGTACTATTGTGGGGGACATAGTTGATTAGTTTTTCAGGCACAGCATTCTAGATGTATACTTCTGCAAATAGTGCTACAAATGCAGCTCCTCTGCTGAGATCAGATGTTCTTGCAGGAAACTAGTAACTAACTTTGCGGTGGGTGGTGAGATAATAGATTCTGAGTCACAGTAGAATTTCCGGAGAGTTGATAATATAGAGTTGACTGTAAGAAGCCAGCCAATACAATATAGTCAGATACCATTAAGCAGTAGTATTAACAAAGTATAATGATTGCACACTTTCTTGTGATCTGGGCCTAAGGAAGGGAAGGAGTAAAATTGCATGCATGAAAAGGTTTTGTAGTGTGGCTGAGAGTTTCTTGTAGCATTTCTGTGATATTCTAGAAATAGATGTTAATGCTAGTTCATCATAGTAGAACGTTTGCCTTTTTGGGTTAAGGAGCCCTCATGGCGCAGTGGTTGAGCGCTCGGCTGCTAACAGAAAGGTCGCAGTTAGAATCCACTCTCCGCTCTGCCGGAGAAAGATGTGACAGTCTGCTTTCATAAAGATTACAACCTTTGACCAGACTTACTGGACCAATAGAGACTAGAGGAACCCCTGAGACTATTCCCCTAAAATGCCCCTTGAACTTGGAACTGAAGCCACTCCCGATAGTCACCTTTCTTCCAAATAATAGATTAGCTTATAGAGTAAACAATATCATCTGTGAATACTGTGCTCCCTTAAATAATCAACTGTATAAGACCAAATTGTCAACATTTACCCTAAAACAAAGATGATAAACTCAGGAGGGACAGGGAATCTAGATCAATGGAAATAGCACAAAAAGAATGGAGATAATGAGAATGTTAACACATTGTGAAAAATGTAACCAGTGTCATGGAACAAGTTGTATAAAAATTGTTATGTGGGAAACCAAAGCTAAGAAGTTTCCTGAATACAGTCAAACACTTTGAGAGACAGAGTAGCAGGGGTAGGGGTCTAGAGACCATGCTTTCAGGGGACATCTAGGTCAACTGGCATAACAAAGCTCATTAAGAAAATGTTGTGCGTCCTACTTTGGTGAGCAGCGTCTGGGGTGTTAAAAGCTTGCAAGCGGCCATCTAAGATGCATCAATTGGTCCCAACCACCTGGACTAAAGGAGAATGAAGAATACCAAAGACACAAGGAGAGTATTAGCCCAAGAGACAGAAAGGGCCACGTAAACCAGAGACTTCATCAGCCTGAGACCAGAAGAACTAGATGGTTCCCGGCTACCACCAATGACTGCCCTGACAGGGAACACAAGAGAGAGTCCCTGATGGAGCAGGAGAAAGGTAGGGTGCAGGACTCAAACTCTAGTAAGAAGACCAGACTTAATGGTTTGACTGAGACTGGAGGAACCCCGGAAAGCATGGCCCGTGGATTCTCTATCAGCCCAAAACTGAAACAGTTTCCGAGGCCAATTCTTCAGACAGGGATTGACTGGACTGTGGAACATAAAGTGATAACTTGTGAGGGGTGTCTCTTAATTCAAGTAGATACAAGAGACTAAACGGGCAGCTTCTGTCTGGAGGTGAGATGGGAAGGCAGAGAGGGTCAGGAACTGCTTGAACGGACATGGGGAATCGGGGGTGGAAAGGAGAAGTGTGCTGTCGTAGTATGGGGAGAGCAATTAGGGTCACATAACGACGTATGTATAAATTTTTGTATGGGAGACTAACTTGAAATGTAAACTTCATTTAAACTACAACAATAAAAAAAATTTAAAAAAAATTGTTAAGTGGGAACCGAAATTGCTATGTGAACTTTCACCTAAAGCACAATAAGATTAAAAAAGAAAAAAGATTATAGCCTTGGAAGCCTTTGGGGCAGTTCTACTTTGTTGTATAGGGTTGCTATGAGTTGGAATCGACTCGATGGCAACGGGTTTGGTTTTGTCCATAATTAGATAAAACATAGCTCTGATGTTTTACTTTTAATTCTCTTGGCTGGAAAAATGTATTGGCTAAAAGAAAGACCACTAACTTCTTCTACTTCTAGAATATTCTTTGAGAATAAACGTAGAATACCTAACTAAAAAATTAAGTTGTAGCAGGCACAGGGAGGAAAGTTTGGTCTTTTGGTTGTTGCTTTGTTTTTTATATTTGTTAAAGTTATGCAAGTTAAATAGAAAAAAAAAAAAAAATTACCTTTCCTGGCAGTGGAAATACTCTTAAGTAGTAATGGATATGTCATTGACATTTGGCCAAGGTTCTTTGGGAAATAAAAAATGACTCAAGCGTAGTACGGCTTCTTTCCATAGAGGTTATCTTTTGGAAGTGGAGATAAGGCAAACAGAAAGATTTATACTTTGAGTTAGAAAAATATAAGAATATAAAAATACGAGCACATAAACATGATATAACCTATATTTTTAACAGCTTTATTGAGATGTAATTCAATTACCTTGCAAGTCACCCAATTTATTCATTTTTATTATGTTCACAAAGTTGTATAACTGTCAGCACAATTAATTTTAAAACATTTCATCATCCCAAAAAGAAACCTGTATCCATTAGCAGTCATTTCCCATTTCCTCACAGCCACCCAGCCCTAGGCAACCACTAATCTATTTTCTGACTCTCTGGATTTGCCTATTCTGTACATTCCAAATAAATGGAATTACAGGCAGTGCCTGAATTACAAACGAGTTCAGTTCCTAAGTCTGTCTTTAAGTCAAATTTGTACATAAGTTGAACAATTACTTATGGTTCATTTCTAACATCAGTTAGTCAAATGTTTGAGTTAGTATATAGTATGTAGTGTACTTTCGATGCATAAAACCATTAAAGAAACACTTCCAGATACACTAAAATGTCTTTAACATAATAATACAATAATAATAATAATAATGTTTCGATGCACATTGCAAAGTAGCACCTCTTTGTTATCACAAACCATTGTATTTACCTCAAATTTTTAATATAATCAGCATTATGGGGATTGGTTGATAACTTCAGGGCTTACATAAGTCGGTCACTTGTAACCTGGGGACTGCCTGAATATAATATGTGGTCTTTTGTGACTGACTTCTTTATTTAACATGATGTTTTTAATTGGATTATTTGTCTTTTTATTTTTGGGTTGTAAATGTTCTTTATATATTACAAATACAAATACCTTGTTAGATATATGATTTGTAAAACTTTTCTTCCATTCTGTGGTTACCTTTTCACTCCCTTGGTGGTGTCCTTGGAAGCACAAAAGTTTTTAATTTTGATGAAGTTCAATTTATCTATTTTTTCTTTTGTTGCTTGTATTTGTGGTGTCATATCTAAGAACGCTTTGCATAACCCAAAGTCACCAAGATTCATGCTTATATTTTCTTCTAATAATTTTAGCTCTTACATTTCTATCTATGATCCATTTTGAGTTATTTTATGTGTATGATGTTAGGAAGGGGTCAGATTTCATTCTGGCATGTGGAGATCTAGTTGTCCCAGCACCATTTGTTGAAAAGACTATACTTTCCTCATTGAATTGTCTTAGTATCCTTTTGAAAATTGACCATAAATGTGACAGTTTATTTCTGGACTCTCAATTCTATTCCACTGTTCTGTATGTCTATCCTTATGTTCGTCCCATACTCTTTTGATTATTGTAGCTTTGTAGTAAGTTTTGAAATTGAGAAGCGTGAGTCCTCCTACTTGGTTCTTCATTTTCAAGATTGTTTTGGGTCTCTTGTATTTCCATATGAGTTTTAGAATCATCGTGCCAATTTTTGCCGAAGAGACAGCTGGGATTTTGATAGAGATTGTGTTGAATCTTACAGATTAATTTGAGAGAGTATTGCTATTTTAACAATATTAATTTTTTCAATTTATGAACATGTCTTTTCATTTATTTAGGACTTCAGTTTCTTTCAACAACATTTTTTAATTTTCAGTTTATAAGTCTTGTATTTTTTATTAAATATATTCGTAAATATTTTATTCTTTTGGATGCTATTGCAAATAGAATTATTTTCTTAATTTCAGTTTTGGATTATACATTACAAGTGTATAGAAATACAATTGATTTTTATATATGGATCTTGTGTCCTGCATCCTTGCAGAATTTGTTTAGTCTAATCATTTTTTAGTGGATTTCGTATGTACAAAATCATATTATCTGCAAATACAGCCATTATTACTTCTTCCTGTCCTATGTGGATGCTTTTTATTTATTTTTCATGCCTAACTGCACTGGCTAGAAACTCCAGTACAGTGTTCAATAGAAGTGGGAAGAGTAGATATCCTTGTCTTATTCTTGATCTTAGGGGGAAAGCTGTTCAGTCTTTCACTTATATATGATGTAAACTGTGGGGTTTTGTGGATGCCCTTTATCGGATTGAGGAACTTCCCTACTGTTCCTAGTTTGTTGAGTGTTTTTATCCTGAAACTGTGTTGCATTTTTGTCAAATGCGTTTTCTGAAATAAATTACTTTTAAAAATGACTATTTTTCCTGTTTTTCATCCACAGAAATTGACTTGCATACCAAATGTGTGGTGGATGTAGATACAAACAAGGTTATTCTTTATCCTGTAAATACTAATCTTTCCAAAGGAGATGCCCGGTAAGTTAAGGAACAATGTTTTGATCAATGCCTTTTTAAATGATTGAAAGCAGCAATGACTGCTGAATTGAGTTCAATTTAACAAATATTTATTCAGTGCTTACTATGTGCTTTGGAGAATACCAAGAAAGTAGAGACATATTGCTCTCTTATGAGTCTGTAATCAGGTTGAAGAGGTCAAGTTGAATAAAGTCTATCATGTGGAATGACTAAGTACCAGAATGAGTGTTATAGATAGTAATTGTATGAGAAGCTCAGAGAAGAGAGTAGGCATTAGATAGTGAAGTAATTGAGAAGCCTTCTTGAAGGAGATAGTATTGGCTGGAGAATTAACTAAGATGTAAATAGGAAGAGGTGGGGTAGAAGGAAAGGTGTTTAGATTGTTCCTCAGCTTGCATGGCTTTTCCTTCTGCTAATTCAGATCCTATCTGTAATTCAGAGCCCATTTAAGTGAGCCCATTTAAGTGCTACCTTCCTCATGAAGGCATTCTGGCAACCCTCAGTGATTCCTCTCCATTAAATACTGGTACAGCTATAATTTGTACTACCTAATTTAATTGTAGTCCCTGGGTGGTGCAAATGGTTAATGTGCTCCACTGCTAACCAAAAGGTTGGAGGTTCGAGTCCACCCAGAGGTGTCTTGGAAGAAAGCCCTGACGATCTACTTCAGAAAAATCAGCCATTGAAAACCCTGTATAGCACGGTTCTACTCTGACACACGTGGGGTTGCTTGAGTCAGAATTGACTCGATGGCAACTGGTAATTTAATTATGTGTGCTTTAAAAATTTTTTTTATTGTGGTTAACGATATATAACATAAAACTTGCTATTTTAACCATTTTTAAGTGTACAATTCAGTGACATTAATTCCATTCACCATGTTCTGCAACCAGCATCATCTACCTCCAAAACCCTTTCATCACTCCAAAAAGAAACTCAGTACCAATTGAGCAATAACTCCCTATTCTCCCTTCCCCCCAGCCGCTGCTAACCTCTAATCTTTCTGTCTCTATAAATAATTTGTCTATTCTAGATATTTCATATAAATAGAATCATGCAATATTTGTCCTTTTTTGTCTGGCTTATTTTACTTAGCTTAATGTTTTCAAGGTTCATCCATGTTGTTGCATGTATTAGAGCTTCATTTTTTATGGCAGAATAATATTCCAGTTTATAGATATACCAAATTTTGTTCATTCATGCATTGATGAACACTTGGATTGTTTCCACCTTTTGGCTATTGTGAATAGTACTGTTATAATCATTGTTGTACAAGTACCTGCCTGAGTCTCTGCTTTCAGTTGTTTTGGGTATATGCCTAGGAGTGGAATTGTTGGGTCATGTGGTAATTCTGTGCTTAACTTTTTGAGGAACTACCAAACTGTTTTCTACATCGACTGCAACATTTTCCATTCCCACCAGCGATACACTAGGGAGGGTTCTAGTTTCTCCACATCTTTACCAATACTTGTTATTTTCCATTTTTAAAAAATATTAGCCATTCTAGTGGGTATGAAGTGGTATCCCGTTGTGGATTTGATTTGTATTTCCCAAACGACTAACAATGTTGAGCATGTTTTCACGTACTTATTGATGATTGTTAGTGCTTTGTAAAGTGTTCTGTAAATGTTGAAGTTTATTATTGATCCAGAGCTATTAGGATATGATGACTATAGGATATGTTGTTATTAGGATGTAAGTGTATGTTGTTGTTGTTTGGTGCTGTTGAGTGGATTTTGACTCATAGCGACCCTATGTGACAGGGTAGAACTGCCCCGTAGAGTTTCCTAGGCTGTAATCTTTACAGAAGTAGATCACCAAGTCTTTCTCCCATGGAACTGCTAGGTGATTTGAACCGCCAACCTTTTGGTTGGCAGCCAAGCGCTTAACCACTGTGCCACCAGGGCTCAAAGGGTATCAAACCAAAAACCAAACCCGTTTGCCGTCAAGTTGATTCTGACTCATAGAGACACTATAGGATAGAGTAGAACTGCCCCATAGGGTTTCCAAGGAGTGACTGGTGGATTCGAACTGCCGACCTTTTGGTTAGCAGCCCATCTCTTAACCACTGCTCCACCAGGGCTCCTAAAAGGGTACAGATGTCTGAAAAATGATGTTGGGAATTGATTTTACTTTTTTCCTGTCTCTCTCTCTCTTCCAGTCTAGCTGGGATATGCTTGCTTTATTATTGTTGTGTGTCATCGAGTTGATTCCAACTCACAGTGACCCTATATGACAGACTAGGACTGCCCCATAGGGTTTCCAAGGCTGTAATTTTTTTTATTTTTGTTTTTTTTATGGTACTTTAGATGAAGGTTTACAGAACAAATATTTTCTCATTAAACAGTCAGTACACATATTGTTTTATGACGTTGGTTAACAACCCCACGACATGTCAACAAGCTTTCTTCTCGGCCTTGGAGGACCTTTT